CTTTTCCCACAAAGCTTCATGAGAAGTCTTTAGTTCTGATGAACTAAGTACAGATCGCGTTCACACCGGAATAAGTCCCTGGGGGTGGATTAGACAAATGAAGCCGTTGACGTCACTTCTTCTTCTTCTGCTTTGGGTTTACTGGCAGGCCGCCCAAAATCCCCGGCTTTCCCAGCAGCTTCTACTGAAGCCTTCCGAGTAAATAGCCAGAACGCCGACACCTCCTCATCTCCACCGCTCCCATGTTTTATTTTGTGTTGCCATAAATTAGTCTCTCTGCGTTTCTGCGCTGGGCTAATGCTAACGCTAATGCTAATAATGCTAATGCAAGGATAATAAAATGGTGGCTTGGGGGGGCGTGGTTTGCAATCCGCCCAGCCAATCAGAAATATAGCTCTTTTCTCACAAGAGAGCCGCATGAGAGTCCCTGCTCTCTAGCAGGGACGGAAAAGGGGGTACAAAGGTTCTCATGAACTAATTTGAGTTCCGGCTCTTTTTTGTGTGAACGCGACATTTCGGAACTATATCGGAACTAAAGTGGGAAAAGTACTCCGGTGTGAACGCGGCTATTCAGAGGATGAGGGGGGTTGGTTGTTAAGGTGGTGTCACAGAGGGGTGGTGGTGGTACAGCCTTTTAAAGCCAGTATTTGTTCATCTGTCTCTTTACCAATCTGTCTTGGCTTGAGCGTGTGCCTCCTTTCAAGCTTTGAGCTGTAACATAGTTTTGTTCTATATTCTCAGATCCAAGTGAAGTTTTGATTACAGAATTCTTTTGTAATTTAGGATGTTCAGTGCCTCTGGAAAACAACCTCTGATCTTAAAAATGTGTCTGGCATTTAAAAGTCCCGCTTGAGAACCACAGAAAATATGGGATTCACGCAAAACTGTCAACATGCAGCTGATAAGGAGCATGAATGGAGCACAGGTTGCATGTATGATTCTGTGTCAAGTTGATTTTATGTTGAGGCCATAACACATTTAATGGTTTCAAATCTGTCTGTGATCCTGCTACTCATGCATCATACAGGTTTGGTAGCCTGAAGGCTGTCTGGCAAGGAAACGAGACAATGATAGAGCCGGCTTTCAATCACCTTTCTCACGGGGCGTCAGAACGCTGAGTGGTCTAATCTGTATGTTCAAGCAGATGTTGAGTGGGCGGACTCATGAGTAGTTGTAGACCTGCCAGTAGATGTTTGAAGTTTGACTCTTTTCTGTTGAAAATGTACAGCACTGTTACACAGCCCAAAGGGGTCTTTTACTCCCACCCACTCAGTTAGAAGCTAACAGATTACAGGTTGCAGCTAATGGTGGGGCTGTAGCTCCTCATCATGCAGATGCTCCCACAGTGGGAGGCTGTGCTCCTGCAGTCTGGGGGAGAAGATACACCAGGGCATTTATTTAGCTGCCAAGTGTTCCTACGCGACAGGAAACAGATTGGGCCGGAACTGGAGCTCAAGAGCATCAAGTAGAACAGTGCTTCCTCTGCTCCAAACCCCTTTAAAACAAGCGAAAAAGCTACATTATATTTTTGTGCAAATGTTATCATACTCACTCTGCAACACAATTCATAGACTTATTTGACATAAGGTCAAACCGTAACTCTATATTTGTTTTGTTTTTTATTAGAAATGTCTAACATTCTTTATTAAAACATCTAGACTAAATACATTTTGAAAGAGGAAATAGCACTTTTTTAAATGCAGCTCAGAAGAAATTAAACCAACTGTTGCTCAGCGATAGCTTTTAAGCTAGCATCCAAAGTTAGCTAACTTTAGATAAATAATTCTATATTTTATGAGTTACTTAATTTATTTAATTGTATTACTACTGTTTGCCACGTGTGGTTATGGTGACCAAAAAACCAACGTCAACATTCATGACATCTTATGTTTTGTGCTAGAAGTTATACAAAGAATACAACTCCATTGGTATAGTTTCACAACTTTAATATAAAAGGAGCAAGGATGTTTTCAAAATTGGCTTCCATCCATATACAGTTCCAAAAAGTGGACATCTAAAGTCTTAACGCATGATCCACACACTAGCTCTTAATTTAATATTAAATAAGTCTTCCTCAATATACGGGTGAAAAACCCAATCATTCAAGCAAGACATTGCCATTCCATTAAAAGCTCTGCTAAAAGCTAAAACATTTCTATATTTGTCCAACATACAGTAGTAGATGTTTCACGACAAAACCGACAAGCCAACTTACTTACTCTTTAAAACAGAGCAACCTTTAACATCATTCATGCACATTTAAACAGTCTCTTGCACACAGTAGCATTTACTTTAGTGTTGATACCAGTCTTCTTGTTTACTTTCTTTTTAAAATATTCCTTTTATTTCAATATATAGTCTGAGCACGGATAACAGGTGCTAGTCATTATTATTTTTGCCACTAAACATATAGCCATCATGTTCCTTAAGGCTCACAGTGCTGTGCAGACATGAGAGACGCTGAGTCTGCAGCACAGGGCTACAGCAGCAGGCAGACAGCAGCTGACATTAAAGAGTCTGGCCTGTTGGCCCTCCATAGGTGGGCTGACCCCTCATAGTGACAGCTGGACAACCAGACACATATCTGACTCCCGTGCAGCATTCGGGGGGAGTCCTGTGGGCGGCTGTGTTGTTTCAGGGGGGAGAGAAGTCCTGACAAACTTCATGTCTGCTCTAAGAGACTTAATGGCATATTTTGATCCTGCTAAATCCCTGGTTTTGTTTCATACTGACAGTATTGTGTTTCCAGAGTTACAAATAAAAGTAACTTATAAAAGTGTTTCACCTCCAGGAACCTTTCCTCCCACCTGTTTCACAGATCAGTGTTTTCTGTTGGAATGCAGCAAATATAATGTAGAATGTATTACAAACAAAACATTTTTCTTTTGGCATAAAGCCTGCTATCTCCTCCCCTGTCCAGCTGTCATCAGCAGCTCCGCCCCGCCACCCTGCACACACACACACATGAAATGAAAAAGAAGGGACATATTCCGACCACAGCTTGATGTGATCTAATGTTCCGTAGGCTTACATTATTATCAGTGTGTTATGATACAAACTAATATAGCTCCTTTTTTTATTAAAGAAATTAGTCATATATCAGCTCCCCATTGATATGTTTCGATCAATAGCCAATCACGTGCAATGTGTTTGAGCGCTAGCATATAGAAGCGCAAGTGTTACATAGTGATGTCACTGTGTTGTGGAAGTAAACAAGGAACTCCCATGGAAGCGTTTCAGGAACTTTGGGATTTTTTCCTTTCAGACCATTTTCATGCACAACAACATACTTAGCACACTACAGGAAAGGGAAAAGCCCAAAAGCATAATAGGGCCTCTGTAAAGTATGTGATGATGTGTCTTCTGAACCAATCTGTTGCTAAGGTTTAAGAAAACCCTTAACTGAAGTCCCTGTTTAATCGAGTATATACTTTTTGTCACAGGAGAGACAGCGACTGGAGACCATCCTGAACCTCTGCGCGGAGTACAACAAAGGAGACGGCAGCGAGCTGGAGCCGCTGGGCTCGGGGAGGACGGGTTTCCCCGGGGCGCTGATGGACGGCTCGGGGCGGATGCTGTCCCAGGAGAACATCCTGGGAGGAACGCCGTCCCAGGCCACGCTGCGTCTGCTGCAGAGGCAGAGGGAGAGCGACGAGGAGAACCTGAAGGAGGAGTGCAGCAGCACGGAGAGCACGCATCAGGAGGTGAGGACGTCTCCTGCTCTCAGCGCAGCTCTGCACAATGGGGACAGACAGGTCAGAGGGGACGCTACTCCATAAGACGCTCTCTGCATGCCACTATGGAACCAGCATGTGCTAATAATGAACATGGCTTTGCTTCATCAGTGGTTCTTAAAGTGAAAGCTTCAAAAGGAATGTGTGCATAAGTCCTTTATGCCAATGCATTTGCATATCTGTTATCAGGTTTGATCAGAATACCTTTTTTATCGTGGGGGGAAATCGATTTTGTGACTGCTCAATTTTAGATTAAATAATTGTTTTTAAATATCTATACAAAAAAAGTTAGTTTAGAATTTCAAATAAAAAACATTAAATAAAATATATTATATTTATAGAAACATAAGAAAAGTAAAATGTCCAATAAAATATAAAATAAAATATTTATTTAAAATTAAGGAGTTAAAGTAAAAATGCTCCTTCGTATATTTTTGTTGTTTTATAAACGTGTAGCTAAACGGTGAACAGTTAGTTATTTATGCAGCTTTCTAAAAATAATCCATCAAAATTCAGGAAATCATAGTTGTCTTATTGTAAAGCACGTAGAAGAGCCTTTATCATTAACGCCTTGATTGTCACGCTATTCTCATTATGTGTACAAACAATATCAGTCAATAATTCAAAGCTATTTGTTTATTGTCTTTACATAATCGTTGGCTAAAAAAATAAAGGGACTGATTCAACTAATTATTCATCAAATGATTGCTGTAGTGTAAATGTTAGAAGAATACAAAAGCGACACACCACTAAACTCAACTACTTATTCCATTTTGTATTCCTATTTATTGGCTTTTTAGACTGTTTGTGGAGGTCTTACAGACGTTTTAAGTAATTAAAAGCCTTTCATTATAGTGGCTCCTGCATGAACCTATCTATCGCTTCATGTCTTTTTTCTCTCTTGCTGTTGTTGTTATATAAGGGCTTTAGTGAATGCCATCTTTATTTGGCATTGCACTTTGCTGTAATGTGCCATTATCTGGTTTGAATTGGTTATAACTTGTAAATTCTTCTACCAAACTTCTACCCACTGAAACCGCCCATCTCTCTCTCCCTTCCTCTAACAGCTTGCCTTCATTTCTCTAAAGCCTGCTCTGTTTCTGTCCCTGCAGCACGAGGACTCATTGGGTTCGGGCCGTCTGGAGCTCGGTTACCTGGAAGACGAGCGCGTTCGCGTTCTCGCTCGGATCGATGAGCTGAAAAGCCGGTTTACGGAGCTGGAGCAGCAACTCCAGGAGTCCACACAAGAGGTACTACAGCTGACGGAAACATATTGTTGTTTACCTCCGTGTGAACACAGGCTGGACTCAAGTAAAACACCTACATTGTTATCAACCTAAAACTTGTGTTCTCCACAGCATCATTATACTGTGCCTCAGTTACTCTGTGGGGGCCTAAAACCTAAAGCTCAGGCTGATTCCATATTTGGTGGCTATATTTATTTTACAGATAAAGATTTGACACAATCGGGCCACCGTATAGATCAGTTGTTAGATTTGGCTGCCCATATACAGGGGCTCGGTGTGCGAGTACCCGGGTTCAAATCATGCCTTGGACCATTTCACTGCGAGTGCTCCCTGATGTCTAACCAGGCCACTTCACTAAAGGCACTGGCACTCCGAAGACCTCTTACAAAAAAAAATAAGATTGAACACAATTTATAACAAGCTTTGGAAATCCAAGACATTGTTAAGAGTAAACTAGTGGTTACCATCCCTTTTATGGGTATTGGGATGTCCAATTTCAGATGCCTTTTAAGTTTGGTGGAGTTAGTAAACAACTCCACCAAATAGAGATTACTTTTCCTTTAAACTTCTCACATGGTTTAATTGTGATAAATGTTCAAATGATCCAATACTTTGCCAAAATCCAAAATAGGAAAACAGATTTGTGTATCAGACCTTTTTATATAAAGTAGTTTGTAATAGCTCCACCTCCATCAGCTAAAAAAAGGACATGCTGCTCTCACATTTATTCTTTGTTATTATCAATCGGGTGATATCATAATATTTTAGTCAGAAGGAACAGAACTGTACTTTAATACTTAGACAACATTTAGCTTCTAATACTTATGTACACACCGCTCACCGGTAACACTGAGTGACGGAGGTTGTGTGCCCCCCCCCCCTCCAGGCGGAGATGGAGCGGGCCCTGCTGCAGGGCGAGAGGCAGGCGGAGCTGGACCAGATGGAGGCTGAAACTGACATCATCACCCAGCTTCAGCACAAGCTGGACGAGCTGGAGAGCGCCATCCGGAGGGAGAAGGACAAGGTACGGAGAGCAGTGGATACACACAGCTCACATTTTAAATGCTGGATTTGAATCCGTGAATTACATTTCAAGTCTACTGGATTCAAATATCTGCAGAGGTACATTCTTGGAAACCAGAAAACACACGTATACACTCTCTGCCTGTGCTCCTACAGTCTCCTAAACCTCTCTGAACTCTGATGGTTTGTCACTTTTGGTGTTTTGGTGTCCTACACAAGTCAGAATTCCTGTCTGGGTCGATCTATTCAATTCTTCACCTCAGGAATGCTTGGTACAGTCAACTCCAGCCATATAAAGGGCTGAAAAAAAGGATTGGATTGACCTTTTGGGGAATTGTTTTGCATGTTTTTTCTCCCTAGAAGTTTGCTCTCAGGTCAAATTCCATCTTTGTTCTCCTTAGCTGGACTCTGCTAACTAACTGACCTCCAATAACCCCTAATCCTTTCTCTGCTTCTTCATCACTCACAGTTACTCTCACACACTGTGCTCACCTGTTTCCTCCCCGTCTGCATGACAGACCCTGTTGGTCAGGAAAGCTGCCCTTTAAAGGCTGTTTGGGCTCTGTAGTGCACGGGTCCTGAAAGACACTTTTTAGTAAAGTGTTCCAATAGTGGACAGATGAAACTGTCTACTAGCATGTTCTCTTTAGTGGTTTAAGGGGGGTTCTTCTTCTTTTTACATACAACTCACCACATTTGAACTCAAGCAAGATAGAAATCTGAAATGGTGTGTTTCTAGATTGTGTTATTGTACGATAGGGTAGGTTGACATTTGTTTATACATCTAAGATGACAAGATATATATTCTGTGGGAAATGTTAAACTACATTTGACATAAAAACGTTGGGGAAAAACGGCTTAGACCTGCTGAAAGCTTCACCTGAGTTTACCCTCATATCTGAAGACGTAAGAAAACTCTTGTCAGTCCTGGTAGTCCTTTTTGCTTTACATATCAATATGAAGCTCATATCCCAGAGCACAAAACTGAAATCTATGGAAGCCATGAGATGCAAACTGAGAAAAAAAACTAAAATGTGACTGAGTCTAAACCAGAGTTCGCATTAACCGAATATTTTCCGTCTATGATTTTTTTTTAACAATGACGGAAAAATCTGAAAGCTTTCCGTAATTTTGACAAATTAGAACAAACTCAGAAGAGCGCCAAAGTTTCCCCGCAGCGGGGCTCCGGTGTTATGCCGTGTTATGCATGCCCGCCCAAAAGGAAATTATACCGTTTCCAAACCTAACTTTGCCGAACAAATCATTGAAATGTCTGTGAGCATTTGCCCCCCTCGGCAGAGTTGTGTACAGGCCGACCGGTAATAATGGATTTTGACGGAAATGTTACGATCCTGTCCGTCAAAACCTACTGTAACTCCAGCTTCTATGAGTATAGGCGTAGCCCTCTAAGTTCTGGGCCCCACTGGCTCCACGAATAGCTGAAGAAAAGCTGTTTGTGTGTGAGCAGATTGTCGGGCCTGAATCCGAAGGTGGGGCCCACCTCGCAGGTGGTACCTAGCAGGTGGGCGTGGACTACAAGGGTTTTCAGTGCTTCGTGGGTGCGCAGGGGATTACCCAATAGCGATAGCCTTAGAGGGCTACGCCTATACTCATAGAAGCTGGAGTTACAGTAGGTAACTTCAGTTTGCACTTTAGTCTGTTGTGGCCAACACGAGTAATATATATGACCTGACGAAAAATGGTAAATTAAAAATTATCCTTATTTTCAGCTGTCATAAAGTGTTTGGATCAGACTTAAAAAGTGGTTCATCAGAACTTTTTTTCTCAGAGCCTCCATAGAATTAGCACCAAAGAGACATGTTTCAGTTTTAACTGCTTAGACAGACTAACGACTGTCAGACATTGCATCGTTTGTCACGTAATTTTAAAAATGTTTTGCGGCCAAGTAAATTATAGACCAACTTTTTTTTCAACCTAATTGAGTTATAATTGTTAGAAAATATATATAGTATGTTCTTTACGGGCATGTAGAGCCTTTACATGTCACTGTGACAGGGGACATTTTAAGAAAGAAAAGCACTATAAAATGTTATTGGAATTGTATATGAACACTTAGGAGAGTTGGAATGATATGTTCTGGGTATTTGAAAACCACATACAATTTGTGGATCCCAGACTGCTTACATCCTGACAAATCAGCACCTACTTCCTTTCCCCTGCCAAGCCCTTAAAATATGTCCCGACATGTCTGTTTGCTAACACCCTACAGCTTTTTATTTGCATGGCGTGATTTTTGAGCAGTGTGTCTCTCTTTCTCTCCCCCCTGTCCATCCATCCTGTGTGTGGGTGTGTGTTGTGTCTTTCTAGGAGAGGGCTAATGTTGAGGCCGAGCGCCGGGCCCTGCAGAGCCTCCAGGAGGGCTACGCTGAGTTGGAGAACCAGCTTCATAACTGTCCCGAGTCCCTGAGGGAACAGTTGCAGGAACAGCTCAAAAGGGTGGGTCACCAGTACAACAGAAGCACCTAGACCCCCCCC